AAAGCCCTTCAGACAGACAGCCTGTGGATAAGTTTCTATCATTCTGTTCCCCCTTTCAGCACATAGCTCGGAGAGGATGAAGGGCTATTGCACTTCCTGAGATCTCCAGCAGCAGCAGTCTGTTGAATATCATAGTACAAATCACTTCAGGAAGCAAGAGTTACCAAATGACAGAAAATGAGTGTTAAAAAGTGTTCATAATGTCTCTGGATTGCGTTTGCTGTTCAGCTTCAGCTGAACCAAGATCAGACATTTTAAGATGTACAACTCACAGATCCTCAGGAGGATTTTAACACATCATCAATATCAGACAGTTACTCCCACACTTCCCTCTACTGATYCCATTTTAAAACTAATCATTACAAGTATTTAAATTTAGTAATCTACTTAGATTACACCCGAACTAGTAACTAAGAATGTTTATTAAGTTATAAAGCTTTCAAACAGCTTTTTGAGTATGAAAAAGCYTATTTAACCTTAACAGCTTTTGTTYACTTTTACTGCTACTGCTTTCGATACAAAGCAGAAGTGCTGAAATACCAGAAGAAAGCAAGGCAGCTGAGCAGGCACCAGGAACAACYCAGCATCACGACTGGTTCCTTAACCAGTACATTAAGAGGGCAATGTAACATTCAAGACACATGATAAATCTGAATAACCAGTAGATACGTCAGGAATTAGGAAATGAAATGAAGAAATAACAGACTATTCTGAAGGAAATCAGCATGAAAACATGGCAGTTTTTTTTTTTTTACAGGAACTTTTCTCCCTTATCTCAAGGATAAAGAGACTCTTAAGCTTTCCCATTCCAGTTAAATAAGCAGCCTCTAAAAACCAAAGCAGTAATCTGCATCGTGTGCCATGGTTGCTATGGCAATTCTTAATTTATAATGAACAAAAAAGTGAGCAGCCAACACAGGCTCTGTGTCAAGCAAACAGCACACCTGTAGGCTTGATAACTGTGGTTACTGCAACACACGAGGTAACCAAAACTAGAGCTTGGCACTTCTCAAAGCTCCGATACAAGTGGTCTGACCTCTATTCCCAGTGCCTCTGTTTMAGCCTCTCCAGTCACTCCCAATAGCTCCCACTACTTGCCCTATTTTGCCATATTAACGCACAAGATGCCCTGGGCTTTGTCTTTTTGAGCAGCCCGTGCCCCTCCTGTCACGGCACTTTGTGCCACCTCCTGCTCTATCAGCTGCAGGCCCAGCTGACGTTACTGCATCCCCACACACCCTTTGTTACTTCTTTGTCCAGCGCCTGGCACAAAAGACCTACCAAGCTGGAACACAGTGTCTAGGGTCTGCCTTTATGCAAAACAACAGGGTTTTTCTTTATTACTGCCCCTCATGCTGGGTGACAGGAATCACTGCGGGGTGCAGAGGCAGTGCTGCTCGAGCACGGGACTGCACACATGAGCTGAAGGTGAAGAATGAGGAGGAGGTTATGGAGTAAAAACAAATCCATCCTAATCCATTCTTTACTACTAGCAAACTCCTCTTTAGTTGTACTTCAAGGGCAATTCTGCCCTGCATATTCTCATGCCTGTATCTCAATTGATGTCTCCTTAGAAATATCTCCATTCATGACCAGGGACACTAACTCTGTGGCATTTCCTGAAGTATTATGATTTGGGGTCAATTTCTCTGATAGTAACTATGCAGCATAAATGCTAGGGCATCAGGATGTGTTATCTTCTGATTAAGTTCTCCCCTGGGACTTTTTGTTTTTTTTGAAGGTGTTCAGGGCAAGATGACAGACCACCTTTCATTACACAGATCACTTTAATGAAGGTACCCTGCTGTAGCAGGTTCAGCTTCAGCTCCACTTCTGCCACAGGTTCCTTGTGTCACCACTAAAAGGAATACACTGCACCTTCCCTCATCRGTTTCAACAAAAACAAGTCATATTTAGTTAATGGCAGTATTGAGACTAATTTAAATACATCCTTAGACTATTTTGAATACACCCACAATTGTATGTATAAGTTACGTCCCAGACACATAAGCCTTCACTAAAGAAATATGGGCAATTTCTTCCATTCTCACAGCGCACACACCTTGCCGATAGGCACAGCTCTTTCTGCCAGGATAAATGCCATGAATTCAAGCCTGGATCAGAGTCTACATGCTACCATACTAGACATTCCGTGAGCAACTTTGAAGTTTTTATACACAACAACTACAAAGAACGAAGTCCACAACAGAACTGCCTGAAACGCTGCTGAGCTCACACGAGGAGTCCGGGAAACCCGGAGAAAGGAGCACGTCCCCAGACACCTTCATCAAAACGTTTGCAGTAGGTCAGGCCGGTATTCAAAACAAAACCCATGTGCAGTTACTTCCCTGATCATGGCTTCAGATTTATTAGCTTTACAAAGATCCCTAGAGCTTGTTTCATCTCTGTTTAACTCCTGTCTTGACTGGAAAACAGTTAGCCACAACATGACTTGGGGCAGCAGAGAAGAGAAAGGGGTAATTCTACTCCTTTTTCTTTTACAAGGAAAACAAAGGGAGTTAAATAGCACTATGAAAACAATGCAACTAAAAAAAAAAAAAAAAAGCATCTGTGCAAGCATCACCCTTCTTTATTCAATCTCACTTTTTTTCTCTCTTTCTCCAAGTTAACAATTAAAGAAAAAATTAAAATAATTCCTGGAGAGCTCCTTAGTGGGAATGCATGGGTTTCCTTGAAGAGGACCTACCACCATAAAGTAATTCCTAGATTACTTCAGGATTAGAAGTTTAGGACAGAGTGGTCACTATTTATGCAGTCACAAATCTGCACACACTTCAGCCACATTATGGCTCTGGGAAGCTAAGCGGCCTTGTGCAACTCCAGAATGGTTCAGGAGCTGGGAGGAGAGGGTAGAGCAGAGGAAACCACTTCAGTCTGCTCCCGCCTCACACAATTCTCAATTGCAGCAATTTAAAATTATTTAAGCTGCATTTTAAATCACATACCTGCACAGAGAAATACAGAGCACTGAATTAATGCACACATGACATTTCTATAGTTTTATTTTCTTCTAATAAATTGAAGCAGTTGGGCCTCAAAAGCTATTTCCTTCTGTTTTCCCCCAGGATCCCTCTTGTCAGCTATTCCACTTACACTTTTTTCTTCTCCTGCTTCCTAGTCTGGCAAAGTTGGAAGGCCGAGTAACAGTAAAAACATTAAAGATTTATTAGGAACATTTTATACATTTTTAAAATCCATCCTTATTTAAAAAAAAAAAAAAAAAAAGGCAGCTCCCGTTGATCAAGGGGAAAAAGCAGGAGCGTAGGAGCTGAGCTCGCTCTGGCAACGTGGGCACTGAAGGTATAGGCAGGTATAGGGTATAGGCAGCCCCGTGCAGGGACAGGGGCCTCGCCGGGGCTAATCATTTTAGATAATTCCCTGCTCTTGGACCTTCCTGTTCTGGTGAGAGGTGAGGTCAATCTTTCCTTGTATTGTATGAGTAGCTGAGGCACCTACTGCAAGGTTTAGAAAAAAAAAAAAAAAAAAAAAAAAGGCAGCTCCCGTTGATCAAGGGGAAAAAGCAGGAGCGTAGGAGCTGAGCTCGCTCTGGCAACGTGGGCACTGAAGGTATAGGCAGGTATAGGGTATAGGCAGCCCCGTGCAGGGACAGGGGCCTCGCCGGGGCTAATCAGCATGATGAGATTAGCGCACTAACATGACTGCTCTGCCCGAGGGAGCCAAGCAGGTTTCTTTTAAAGACAGCCAAACTACATCTGTGTGGCACTAAGCACGGCCCCGATCACCATGACCTGCTTATTTTTGTTTGCTTGATCACTGTGTGACATTCAGACAACCGCTGTCAGACGCGTCTTCAGCTCGGCTTTTCTCTCTGCCTGACAAGACATTTTTCTATCCACTAGCAATTTGGGGGATGTCTACTATTTGCTGTATAGATTTCTCATGTGCATAGCTGATATTCTGTATGTCATACTTGAAAATTATTTTTTTTTTAAACAGGAATTCATTCTTGATTAAGACTAAGCCTCTTCCCGCCTCCTCACATTCTAACCCAGGAATATTTGGAMATGCCAATTCTTCATTTTTAGAGCCAAAGACAAGAATACCCCACACTATTATTTACATATAAATTTTATACGTATATACCTAARTAGTGCCAACCTCAGACACCAACATGTCAAAGCAGAGAGAAAAAGAAGCAAGTCTCCTCAGATCTATACTTAGGTATCATAAAGCAACCACTTTTTTTTTTTTTTTTCTCTTGATTTTACCAGTTATTTACAATTCTTAAAGACATCTTTTATAAAAAAATAGAAATGTAACTTACATAGTAAGCAATGAAAAGAGAACACATTATGTTTAAAAGAACACTAATATAAGACTAAAATAAGGTAGCAACATAGAAGTTGGGGACAGGACAGATTACTATGAAATAGGTACATAAGTAACGCTAGAATCCCTGCAACAGAAAGACTGGCAGGGAAACGTTCAAGTGCTGAACTCTCCTTGAAGTCAGAAATACACGAGGAGAAACTGAGGTCTCTCACATCAGTTACTTACACATGTTGCAGAACGTGTGGACTTCCTTCTCCATTGCCTGCTATGACTGTTAAACTGCTGCCTCATTTTATTACGAGAGATTTTCGTGATGGGCTATGTAATTCTAGCACATATTGTACATGAATTGTTGCAGTGAGACAGCCCTCCCCTCATTTATATCCTGAATTCTCAATTCTTCCCTAATCTTAACAAAATACTACTTTCTCAAAAGCTTCCACTTTACAAATAGATCACACTAAAAACCAAAATCATCATAAGAATGCTTATAAACCTGCTATCATGAATCCCGGCTAAAGTTTTGACTTGTCATCAAATTACAGAAAAATTTAGGTTGAAAGAGAGCTCAAGATGTTACCTGGTCCAATCTGCTGTGTGAAGCAGGACTAACTTGGATATTAAGTCTGGGCAAGCTGTAAGTATCTGCAAGAACTGGCACATATGCTGCATTCTGGCATCCCAGTGAAAACTACTCCATCTTTTCAGGCATTCTGCAGGGAGAAAGTGATTTCCAAAGTTATTTATGATCTTTCAGAATTAAATAAAACCCCACACAGTAAGAATAAAGGGTTTTTAGAATAATTATCTAAAAATGCTTTACTGATTTGGGAGATGTGTGTATGGATACACATAAAATGCACACAGGAATAATATTAAAACTGTAATGTTATTATCCATTACATCTATTGTGTTATTCAATTCTTAAACGATTAAAATTCATCATATCAAGTAATTTTCAAGTTATAAGAATTATCACATTGTCTGGTACAAGATCAAGTGAAAGGGAGTACTAAATATGAAACATGCTCTTCGTTTTCTCAAATTTGCTTTGTTTCACTATAATGATAAAGGTACTAAGTCTGAATTAAATACACAAAATTATATGTATTAAAAATTCAATCATAAAGCTCCACCAAGTGGAAATTCTTAAAACTACACTAAGGCAGTCCATGAGYAAAATCTCACATGGTTTAATTAAAACTGATACCCTTAATTCCAGTGGTAGGCACTGAACAGGAAAGCTGGCTGTCCATTCCTTCAGTCCATCAGTTCTTCCAGTGTAGAAGCGTACTGATGAGAGCAACAGCTCTGAAACCATAATTTAAAAAAAAATCACTAAATATTTCATTTTTCTTTTTTAGATCTTTCCTTTCAAAAACGTTCTTTGCACTATATCCAGCATAGACAAAAAGGATCTATAGATACTGATTAYTGATACTCAGAAAAGTAGCCCTTCCGACTTACTGAAATTGCTATGGGCAACCTAAAGTTCCCTTTCCTAATGCAAGACCAAAACCAAAAAGCCTTGGGTTATTTAAACAAATTAACAGGCACTACCATTTTAGGCACCATGAGATTCTAGAGCAAACACAGCTTGCTAAATGGTTTGCTCTTTCTCACTACTGAAATATTCATTATCTGTGTAATTTTAACAATCTGATAAAAACTGTTAAAAGCATAGCTGTGCTGCCCAGCAGGTAGTGCCATTTTTAATGAAGCCATAACTATCATAAATAAATAACCAACTYATAAAGTATTCATAACGTGCCTCGACTTTCTTCAAAAAGATTTGTTTTGATATAGGGGCTAAAGAACATGCCCCACCTATCAGATCCAGTAGAAGGGGGCTTTAAGAATTAAGGGACACATCCTAAGCCAAAAGTTTGCTCTTGGATCATCCAAACTTGACACTACTRTATGAGTTATTTTACACACAAATTTCAGGGCAGTCTAAACTCCTTTGGTATGCTTGATAGCAAAACATCTCACATGCTGCAGAACCGAAGTAAAAACTCTCTTTTGAAGGGATACTTCTRCCTCTATACGGTGCTGCCCCAACAAAGCCCTGAAGACATTTCATACGTGCTAGAAAACTGTTGTTCCCACACAATGCAGCACTGCCTGCATACACACAACGCTACACAAAGTTGGTGGCATGATAACTCAACCCTATTTTATGCAGCAGAGAATCCAAATTAAGTATTGTTGTTATAAATAAATATAAAGCAATACTATACATATGTGTGTGTGTGTATATATATATGTATATGAATATACACACATACCGTCATATTTACAAACCAGAAGCTGCATTCCTAATGCCAACTGSCATTCAGTCTACTGGACCAGACTAGAGCTATTTTACAAAGTAAGCTTCTTCAAAACACATGTAACACAGACACCAGGTCCTCAGGAGCAATTGCTTTAATCTATAATTATGCTTCTACTATATAACCTCATTTTCTAACACAAGCACACCCCTGGTTACCTCCGTTCTGTCACTCTTGCTGCTTGCTTTTSCATTTCTTTCTTTCTTCTTCCTCACCCCCCCACAATCAGGACCCAGAAATTGTCAACTTTCAATGGAAATAGCTGGTGAGAAACACTTGCAAACTCTTTAAAAGCATACTCTTTGGAAAAACTGAGCCTGCTTTCAGAAATAAAGACATACCTGATTATCTCACAGTTTGCTATTATTTAAGTACACAAAAAAAAAATCATTAGACAAAGTATAGGTCAGATACTTGATAAATGGAAACTTCATGAAATCAGAAGGAAGTATCACTATCTCACTGCAAAAAGTACCTTCTACAACACCACTCACTAGGCAGCATAGGAAACATTAACTAGCAGAAGASAGAGATGTTAAAGTTTGCAGGATGGGAGAGGCATCTCTTAGAACAATTTATTTCTAAAACTTCACCATGATTCACAGTGCTACACTAACGAATTATTCCGATGTTCAAAAGATAAAAAGCCTCAAAGAGGTTCCTAGTGCACTAGCCACTGTGGGAAACATGACTTCTGTCCATAAGCCCAAGGAGGCTTTTYCATGAGATTATCCAGTGGACAGTGAGGAAACAAATTCTCCAGAGGCTACCAAATAGGGAAGGGGCTTCTAATAAGCAGTGGTTCTTTAATCCAGAAACAGGTGACAACATCAGAGGCACTGACTGAAAGCTGAAACTASAAAAACCTCCACCTGAGAGTCGTTTAATATCAGTGCTGATTAATTATTGGGACAATATACCCACCACTCTCCATCACTTGAAGTACTTCTGTCAGATGTTTTCCCCCCCAAACAGAGTTGCTGTAGGCCAAGACGAAATTAGAAGCTTCATGATTTATTGTCCAAAAATGGTTGTTCCAAGTGACACAGGTGAACCATCTGAACAGGAAGGTCCCTCTGGTATTTAAACCCAAGCATCTGTGCAGCACCTTAGTTAAAAACCTAATTTCTCACTACTTACACATACCTTTGCACTGAAAGTATTACTAATACTGCACCTCAGATCTATTTGATGGGGCTAATCAGTGTAATGCCAGTGAAAGTGTGGTTTATTTATGCCCACTGATGCACTCAATTTGCAAAAAGCAAAAGCATCAGGTTGAATGATGAGAATAATGGCTGTGCATCTGTAGTGGTCATAGAGGAGTGAAAGGAGGAGCAGAAACCTATGAGTCAATGTGCATCATTTCTGCTTGTCTGCAAGGAATATTTTTCCAGTGTTACACCTGTTCTATGAGAACATCCTCTCTGTTTTTTTTGTGGGGATGCAGTGTTGTGACCACAGATTAGCACTACAAGCAAACCAAAGGATTTGAAGAAACTGCAGGTGTTGCATTTGAAATAAAAATTCTTAGTGGAGTGAAAGCTTATAAGCAAGACTTTTGCATCTGCTTGCACTWGGTTTCAGCCTAAGAAAAATAACTCCTGACCATTAGCAGTTCATGCAGTTTACTTACAGAAAATCCATCGGCTACACAGAGCCTTAGTAGCTGGCTGCATTTCAGCAATACTCCTTGAGATGCCATCAAAAGCACCCAAGTGAAACATAGGTGAAAGTCAAGCTGTTATCACAAAATATACTGTCACTTGCAGTAATGRTTGCTTTGAAGGCAACAAAACTTCTGTGCCCTTTCTGCACTGCATTAATGTGTGTATAGGCCTCTTGTAATAAGTCACTATTCTTTTCTAGTACTTAAAAAAAATAATTCCAGAATTCTCCCATTTATCCCATTCTCAGTTGGGCTTTTGTCTTCAATTRTTTATTCTACATTTATCAAGGTAACCTGCCACATGGTTGCTGGCCACACAGGATCAAGTTACCATTACTTTCTCTTTAACAGCATTAAATGAAGCAAAAAGTTAAGCACTCCTTTTCCATGTAATCAGTTACAGTAACTGATGATATGACTGTCTCATCATATGCACCATATCCTCCTTCCTCTACCCTCTCAAACTCTTGTCTACACTATGTTTATGCAGCTGCTTAGGGACATCAGAAGCAATTCAGGTAAGTAAGGTTGTGGGCTGGACACAAATTCCCCAGCAGCTGTTTTGTTGTTTCATGTAAATTCAGAGGCAATTTTTTTAACGGGACAGAACGAAGGGCATGCCCAGCTTATTATCCCTGTGCTCCAACACTGCAAAGGGCACTGTGAGCAACTCTGCCAGCCTCCTGTGGTTTCTCATTGGCAGAATCAGCAAATGGCTAAGCATGCTCAAGCCCTGCATGCCGAGACAGGCTGGGCACATATTAGACATTCCCCAATCAAAAACAAAACTCTCCAGAAATCTAAACRCTGGTACAATTCAATGGAAAGACAAATTTTGAAAGTTCAGTCCTATAGCAATGAATGTGGCTCTCATCAACTCACCTTTTCTCATTTGACTAATTCATGATGTAGCTGAAYGAGAAAATACCGATCTTATTTTTCTTCTCCAACTACAGCATTTGAATATTTTACAATAAATTTCTTAAAAATGAAGATGCCTGCAATATGAAAAAAAATATGCTTGAAATCTAGGAAAAGTTTCCTAAATCCTAGTTTGCAGAGACAACGTAAACAAAGCCACTGTATCTATRGAAGTACAAAAATGACTTTTAAGCGTGCTAAGTCGCACCTACTGAGCTGTGCTTAAACTTAGTGGCAGGCTTGACTGCTGGTTGTGCTGCTTTCCTCCCAGACGGCCAATCCTGGCTCCTCGGACCTACCCAACCACCCCATTCTCTGCTGGAGTCTGTGCACAACGACTCCCTTCTCCTGACAATTGTCCCTGTGCGTTTACAGGAGGCCAAAACCGCTCCGTGCTCTGCCATGGGCCGTGAGGAGACACAGACAAGCAACAGTKTCTTAATGCATTCAATTACCATCTTCATTACACACAAGGAAATAATTCCACAGTTTAAAAAGTCAGTAATGTATTTCAGTGCATCTTTCACTTCCTCCTCCACTATCTCCTATACAGGCTCTCGCTTTATCAATAAATCTGTCACTAAATGAAAAAAACATAGCATATGAAGGAGAGATTCCTGAAACTCACTCCATACAATAGSAGTAAATATCTCAAGAACTGAAGTTTGCTTTTGTCATGTTTGTGTGTCACATCAAATAAATTCTTTTATGCCAACTACCAGGAAAGGTTACAATTTTAGTTTATGAACACAAATCCTAGAAGACAAAAGCAAGAGACAACAGCAAATGGGAATAGTCCTCAGGGGGAGAAACCTAATGAGTAACTTCTTACTGCAGGCATGAAACTGTCCCTTCAAATGCATATTTTTGAAAGCTTTGTTTATTCCACTTTAGATATTAATCTTACTCAAGATATTTTGATTTGATGCAAACATAAATCGAATGCAGAGAACTACAACAGGCAAGAGTTTCTCTACATTCCATTAGGTGAATTTTATGTATGTTGCAGTTCAAAAATTCTCTAAGGAGAGAAAAAAAACACACTGTTCCTGCATGCACACATACACCAAAGCAATTTAAGGAGCTGTGTATCTGTCTTTACATACAAGGTATTAATGACATAACTTGCATCCTGTAGAGCTGTATGCAGTATCTAGCAACTAACACTACAGAGGTTTGGCTGTACAGGAAACAAATCACTTAGGTGGTGGTGGACTTTTTATTTTATTTTGTTATCTGTTAAGTTTAAATCAGTTTGTATAATACTCTCAGACGTAGAAAAGGTTGCCCTGGAGCACTCAGAGTTCAAAAGAAGAGGAGATTGCTGGTAAGTGTTCTTCAGGAGCAATCTCGGCTTCTGAAYGTCACCCCTGCAAGATCACAGCAAACCTGCTCTTCATCTGGACAGCAGTTCGTTTGCATTTTAGGCAGCATATCTCTGCTGTTTTAGCATTTAAAAATCAGCATTATGCATTGCAAAAAAACTGACCATATACAAGTAAAGCTTCGTTTCATTATTGGTTTCTTTCTTAAATGCCAGTCAGTGGCATTCAGATTCCAAACTGACCTTTCTCTTTACACTAATAGCTTTTCTTATCAGCAGCACAATCGCTACATCTTTCACACAGCTGATCTGTCACCATGTTTGGAATAATCCTTTACCCTAACATTAGGGCTGACTATTAATAAATTAAGAACTAACAGCAAAATAATTACCCTTTCACCTAGGAAAAATACTGGTGGCCACCACAGAATGTTCCCCCTGTGACACCTTGTTTTGCCCCATATAATTGATGCAAATGCGAAACAGGATCCTGCTCTGTTCTTTTCACTTGCAGTCACTTTCACACACATACTATTTGTCTCCTAACCATGGCAGATGCAAGAGTCCACTGCGAGAGTTTTTGTTTGTTTTTTTAAAAACAAGTCTACTTCTAATGTCAATTGATTTATTTATTGCGATGAGGCTAGAGATACCAGTAGTGTTTGGGGCATGGAGCTGTAAAGTTACCTAACTTTATCACTTTCAGATAAAATTCAATTTCCCAATGAAAGCCAAAATATTTATTTCCAGCTTGCAAGTATAACACATGCCACCCCAAATCAGCAAAACTCTCATCTATTAGCAGTAAATGCATAATGAATTATGGTGCATAGAAAAATTCAGCATTTCACCCTACATAAGCATATAATTCATAGAACAGTGCAGATGAAGGAGCAGAGATGTCTTTTCTCCACTATCAATAAATTAAGCTCAAACTTTGTTTTATACATCTGCCAGCACAGTGGTGAACTGAGGTGTTGCAGGCGCCATTGTGATGGACTAAGGAAATGCTAAGGTCTGTTGCTTTACCTCATCAATCTGGAACCCAAACGGAGCTTTCCCTGAAGGCTGCCTCCAAACACATTCCTGAGGAGCACTGACTGGTGACCACAGTGGCTGGCTGCAAAAAGAGAGAGAGAAGAAGAAAAAGAGAAACAAGTTATGCAGCTTACTAGCAGCTCTTCACCAAGAAAGCTTTTTCACCAGTAAGGAGCAAGGTGCTAACTTCTCCTCACAGCAGATAAAACATTCTTAGAGCAAGGCTGGGATTTTATTCCAATTAACAGTGTTGTAGCTTCACACTGTAGAATTCAGCTATTAATCAAAGTGAAGAATCACATTATATATGGGATAATAAAACCACTGGAGTCCCTTGTTAGCTTCCTTAGCATATGCTGTTTTATTAATAGAAAGTGCTCTGAAAGGATACTCCTTYCACAGCGTTTGAGGCATGGATGGAGCTCGCAGACGTGTTTAATCCTCAGCCTATTCAATGACATTAGAGAGCACTTTTCTGCTTCACCCTGTTTTCCACAGCTCTGAAAAGGTAACGCTTGCTTTTTTGCAAGTCTCTAGATTCCCGTTAAGAAAAAAGTAAGACTTTGCAATAAAGAGCATGCTAAAAATGTCACTAAGGATTTTTTTTTTCCAATGAAAACATTTAGCTGAATTCTATCTATAACAGAGGCTAAAAACAACAGATATTGTTTACAAAGGATAAATTCAACTACATAAACTGTCACTGAATTATCTAATTGGCATTTTCTGTCTGCCAAATGCACTCCAGATTAAGAATGTATTCACAATGGCTCTTAAGTCTTTAAAGAACTCCCCTAAACATTGAAATAATGTATTTACATCAGGATTAATCGTCACTATAATTTAATTAGCATTTGACAAGAATTGATTTGGCAGAACTTTTTCCCTTAAAATAGGAAATGGCCATAAACCAGGGAATGGTCATAAACTAAACACACTGAGTTTTTTCTCCATCTGCTTCTGGTACGGTGCATTCTTCAGCTACTAATTCAGTCAAGATCTTCTCAACTTCATTTATCCAGTTAATTAGAGTCAGATGCTGACAACATCAAGATTATAAATCAAATCTGGGTATGCAGGCAAAAAAGAAAGCTGCTGCTAACACCAGCATGTATGGTTTGCTTACAGATCTATAAATGAAAGAAGTGGATAACCTAATAACACTAAGAACAGAATCACAATTAGATCCAGTAAAGCAGCTGCCAAAAACTACGTACTAAAGCATTAACCTTGCACACACTTGGACCCAAAAGCAGAGCCTAGAACTTCACCAGATTCCGCTTTTAGGATCTAGCAAGCGGATATGAGTGATATAAAGTTATTTCCATCCCCTTCAGTTATATTTCAGGAGGCAGTGGCAGCAAGCCCTGCACTTTGCAAGGAGCCAGATCATYCCAGGCCCACCAGGAGCCTGACTCCTGTCAACCACCTAAGCTTGCTAAGGAGCGCGAACACCCGGCTGGAGTCAGCCGCAGCGCCGCCGTCTCCTCCAAGCTGCGGCGCTTGGGGACGTGCAGGGCCAGACAGCTCTAACATCAGCACAACTTGAAAAAAATCAAAAAGAACATTCAATCTAGGCGTAACGGGATTAAGCAGTTTCAAGAACAATTTTGTTTCAGAGCATGGAGTCTACTTAGCTCTACTCCTGAATTTAAACATATTTGGAGGGGGGAAGGAGACGCATTTGATCCCCAATGACCTCCTTTTCAATGTAATTTCACATTGTAAGTGATCACGTGTCATTAAAAAAAAAAACAACAAAGGCAGCATCCATAAATATCCTATTAGAGCAACTCCATGTCCTTGCTTGTCAAGAACCCTAAACACACCAAAACACTGAGAAATCCTCAAATCCCTCCCCTCCAAAAATTACAGCAAATAATTTTCTTCCTAAAAATTAAAGAAAAAGCAAACACATTAACCCTGAATTCCAAAGCACAGAGCAGGTTATTTCAGAGMGTACAGATTAACAGGTCCCTTGGGGTCTTCACTGAAACTACAGGGCAATGTTGAATATCTGTTCTAAAATGATCTATATGCACAAAGCATACATGTTGCTTAAGGATATATAGACCCCTGGGTCACTTTATCCAGTCTCATGCTACCAAAGTGTTTTCCCACACCTTTGATAATATTTCAGAGGAAAGATTGCATTTCTTTGCACTCTCCTTTACACTCTCCTTTAGAAATAGTCATTTATATACAAATTAACTGTCTACAATCCATAAGCAACCCAAAGGGATTTTTCAATAAACAGAGATTCTCTTTTCTTTCAAGTAGCAAGGAGCTGCTTTCAGCTGCTCCCAATCTTTGGCAAAAATTCCTCTGCCACAATCCTCTGCAATACAGAAGGGCATTTCTCCACTAGTATTCCCTGCGTATCCTTTCTCAAGGTCTCTGCCTRTATGAGCCTCAACAGCTGAAAGAGGCTGAAAGATTGCAACATTTTAGAAAAATCAAGTATTACCAAGTATTATCACCATGTTCGCAGCCCTGCCAACCATTAAAGCACAAGTCTCACTGATCTCGGTTTCTCAACATCTAAATGTAGGAATTAGCCTATACAGCACAGTTCTTAAAGTTCTTGCATCTTTGCCATACATAGTTCAAGTTGCACAACATGGCCTTGATAATCTTAAATTACTGTGTCAGTGGTTT